CGCTCGAACAGTCCCAAGCCAATCCTCTGCTAGCTCAAAAGTGATTGGCAATCAAGGAGTTTGCCAACCAATTTGGTGCAGTCTGGAAGGGCCAAGGGTGATTGCTTTCAAACTTACTACCTCAGGTCACGTGTACTCGTTTGCTACTGTACAACTCCATGCAACTGCGGCCATGACATGTACGCTGCACTCCATCTTTCGAAAGCCATCATGTTTCATAGATATCATGGCAGCCTTCCTCCTCATCTGAAGCTACCATTCGCTACGCTTGTGAAAAATTGCAGGCCTCCAAGTGGGGTGACGGCAAAGGAAGTTTAGGGTCTGGTGGCACCTTCCACGAGAACGAGATTGCCCAAGGGTATCAACAAACGTGACGGCATTCGTCCGACAATTGATTGGCCAGAGGTCAGCATGAATCCGAAACTCTTGATTTAGGCTACCACATTATCCCAAGGCCTCTTGAAGGTGCATCCGCTTCTCTGTGGCATGTTCTCGGAGGCCTCGAAAGTGCTCAAAACACAAAACCCTGAGAACCCTGAAACTTGGGAATTGAAGACTTTCAATTATGCAAAAGCTCGAAATGACCTGAGAACCCAAGAGCTCCACAACTGATCTCATCCATCAAATCGTCCACGAGAGTTGACAGCCTGAGTTTCACCATAGCAACTTGTCAGCCAGCACCTTACATTCAATCTGACGGAAACTTCTTGAAGCCCTGCTTGGGTGCTACTGTGTCAGCTAGTGACAGAACTTGTTGGGCAAACTCCAAGTAGCATGACATCCAAAGCAAACATGCAAGTGAGCGCCAGTTGAACCGAAAGGGTTATTTGTTTAGGTTAGGTCGTTTTCACTTGTGACAGTCAAAATTACAAGAGTGATCAACATTGGAATATCTTGTGCTTTCCATGTACAAGCTTGTTGGTAATGCTCACATCTTTTCGGGGCCTTTCTGGATCCAGCATGTGCTGCTGCACGGTTAGCTGCTGCATATGTTGCCTTATGGCGACGACAGAGTCGGCCCTCTCTGATCGTCTCAAAGGTCTGTCCGATTCTGCAAATTCTTCCTCAGCATCCTGCTGGTTCAGCGCTTGCAACCGAGCATTGTGTTCTTCATTCCTTGGAAAGTCTCCAACTTAAGTGAATGGCAAACGCCGCAGTTGACAAGTCATGGAAGCTGAAGCTTCAGGCAGTCTCTATCTACATGAGAAGCTTGCGCAGGTATGAGGTCACTCGCACGCTGTCCCAACTGATACAGCGTGAATCACTCCATATTGAACTGTTTGGACTTGTCGGCTGTGACAATGCAATGCTGTCAAATTCCAGGGAAGTGGCAGATTGTCCAGCTGCTGCTTGTGAAGAACACGCCTCAAATTCTAGGTTGAAAAGAGCTCTCTCTCTCTCTCGCTATATATATAAAATATGATTAATCAACCTTTCTTCGGAACAGGAATATTGCAAGAACATGTGAGCGTGACATTGGTCATGACTCTGTGCTTTTCTAAGTCTTGATATTTTGCTGCCAACCACACCACGACAAACACATCACCAAATTCATCATATACCAGCTGTTGTATCTGAGCGTCCTATGTACAAAGATCCTTACACCCATGCCAATATACGTAACCCAGGGTAATGCGGTGCTTCAAACAGCTCCGAGTTCTGGGCTGGTTGCGTTGATCAAGTGCTGCAGCAGAAGCAGCCGCAGCTTGCTGTGCGCATTGTGCCCTCAGCGTCTGCAGCTCTGAGCGCCTGGACGCGGTGGACATCGGACGTGCTTTAGAACCTTTAGTTCTCTGTTTTGCGAGGAGCTAAGCTTCTACTCAAACTAGATTTCATACAGTAGTTAGAAACAAAAAAGTTCTGAAAGGCTCTCCGCAGTGTGCAAAGGCAAAAGGACTCGACACAAAATATACATCTCAGGTTTGACGAGCACTGTCTCCCTGCAGGTCTCAGGGCCCATTTGAGGTGGACTGGGTGATTGGTCCTCACAGTGGTCCTTCTCTGTGTCATTTAGCACTTCACTCGCAAAACCACACCAGCTTGTGGGAAACTCTGGGCCCACGGCAGCTCTTTTGTCTCTGCCTGGTGGTCAATACCACTTGTTGTTCAATTGCACAACACATAATGTCAAAAAAGTTGCGAGCCAACTTTAAGTCACAGTAGGCCTACAGTATGCAATCCAACAAACAGCCGAGCATTCTGTACTCTTAGGGGCGGCTAAGCACCATGAAGTCAATGGTGGCATAAGACTTCACATGTGGCTGATTGGATGTTCGGTCATCTGGTGAGGCTTTTTGACACCTTACATTTCCAAGTGCCCTCATCTTGCTTGACATTTTACAGGCTTTTGTTGAATTGAGCAACTAAGTTTGAGTTCTTTAAGTTAGGTGAAGTGACAGGACGTTAAAGTGCTTAAACCAAATTCCTCACAACATCTCAGTCTTCCTCTGGGCTTTCCTTGCTCCTGGCGTCTTGGACTTAATTACATAAGTTTCCCTAGATCTTCCTGTCGTGATTACAGCATCTAAAGATATCTTAATTCTTGTCGTAGCTTTCTGTCGTTACCGTTTCGTATTATATAGCTCCCCTTAGCTCTTCCTGCTCCTCCCCTGCCTGGTCACAGCCTACACCCCCCTTGAAAAAACCATTAACAAGCATCTACTTCTGCGTGCTCGCTCAGTCTCCATGTCTCGATGTTTGCGTTGAGTTCTTCGTCTTTCTTTTCTCGTTGTTCTTTCTTTTGCTCTTTCTTTTCTACCCTCATTCTCACCGTCTCAACGCAATAGAGGCGCCTCAGCACTTTCCTTGAGTCTCCTGGTGGGTAAGCCGCTGTGGCATATATAATGAAAGGATGAAAGGGGATATATTTGAGGAAGAATATGGAAGAATGCAACAACGCAATTCACCGAAGATTATATACAAATACAGTCGAGGCTTTGACAAAAGAGAAGGACAAAGCAAAGTGTAGCTCCACATCTCCTTTGGTCTTGAAGCTCCTTGTGCATGGGTCTGGGTGAAGGCAAAATCAAGGTTGAAGCTGAATGATCAAGACTGTTATAAACACAAAGCCCTCGCAAATTTGCATGAATAGCTTCAACAGCTTATTAGATTCTGTTGTGAACGTTAAAACTTGCGACGAGCCAACCACTAAACGTCTGTTCAATCACGCTTATTCTGTAATAACATTAACCACTTGTCAAATGCCAGTTCGGGATGTCCTGTATCTCCAGAACAAGTTTGTTGCAATTGGCCAAGTGAAGCTGCTCCTGGAAACGCACAAATTTGACGAGGCCATCCTTTATCAACTGTTTGAACTTGAAACTCAACTCAACTAACATCATCTTACATGGCTTTTGGCCGTAGCTTCTGACCTTCTGGCAAAATCCCCTTATCATTATCATGATGGGAGGACACATGAGAGCATGTTGACATCTTGGTGCCTGCTGCTTGAGCTCCAAATTGCAGTTGTACTGCTGCTGCAATTCGCTCCTCGACCAACAAACAGTTTGAGGCAGCAAGCAACTTGATGTTCTGTGGCACACCCAATGCATTCGAAGCCAATCATGTCCTGATCTGATTGCAATCTGACTCCAGGAGTTCTTTCTGCTGGTGAAGGCTCTCCTCCACCAATGAACCCTCATTACAAACAGGACACATGGAACCATGTAGAGGTTCAGTTCCTATCAGCAAAGCACACACTTGTTTGTTGCCGCGGAGTCAGTAGTCCCCTTACTATGCTCTTGTGTCAAATCTACTGTTGTGACTCATGGTTGATTCGTTGATGATGTCCTGAAGCCTTTGCTTTTCTGCTTGGCTTTCTCTTTCTTGGGCCTTGCGCGGATCTTCCGCTATGGCCGCTATGGCTGGCAACATCTTGGCACCTGGCCTGCAACTCTGAATGTGCATGCTGCCTGGTCTCTTGCACCATTCGTCGAAGTTGCTCACCTTGGTTACATTCAGAACGGTTTAGGTCGAACAAAACGAGTCAGGATGGCATTGAGATGGATTCAGGCAGTCACATTCGTCTTTCAGTCGGCCTTTGGAGTCCTTCTCTTCGCGCACCTGGCTTTCAATTCGGCTTTCAAGCAAATGCTGCAAAGTGTATTAACAGACTGGCGCTCAAGAATAATCAAGGCTCTTAATATGACTGAGGCAAGCAAGTACTAAAACAAGTACAAAAAAAGTACTGAAACACAAGAGTCTCTAAGGGGCTAATTGCCCAAGTCACGGTAGGTAATACTGTCCTGCCTGCTCGACTCGCCTCCAGTCCTGAGCTAAAGCTTCATCTCTCTCATCCGTCACACCACGGAGCTGCCTCGAAAGTCAGGTCCACTGATCTATCGTAGACACACATGACACACACACAGAAAGGTTACGACAGGTTTCACTTTTACATTCACATACCTAGACTTAGACCATCTTGTTAAATCACACATCGATATGCTGACAAAGGGGGTGGCAATGGATTTTCTCGACAAGTTCGAGCGTAATATCTGGGAACATTCAGCAAAATCGAACAGGACGACAATTCTGGCGTCAAGGTACCTTGAACAGTTGCCAAGCAAGATTCATGTCGCATTGGACACAAGCGATATGGTTGCAGCATAATGATTGATTGGTGCAGGATAGTGCTGAAATGTGCTGAAGAACGATCGCATCGCCAAGGGTTCTTGACTTGTCTGACAACCAAACGACAGCAGGTGCCTTTTTAGCTGCTCATTCCGACCTGACAAAAAATGCGGCTCGTTCAAAACCACACAGGATGAGTGAACCGGTGTTGCGAACTGTGGCGGCAAGCAACAGCTAAATGCTCGGGATCTGAGGCGACTCACTAGCTGAACATGTGTGTGTCTGGGCGTGCCTCTCAACAACACGTACTGTTTGAATACGGGCAAATGAATGGGACATTTCTATATGAACATTTCACAACCTTAGTCAAGCCTTAGTCTTCCACCATGTGGCTCACCCGTAACTATCTCTCTTTTCTGCCTCTCTCTTTGTGAAGTTCACCACTGATCTCGGCCTGAGACATGTTTGGCTTGGACCATGCTTTTTGATGCTTGCACTAAAGCTCTGAAGAACAAGCAAGCTACTCTCTGCTCTTTTCCAGTGGTTTCATCTCACGAGTTTTGTAAAGCAAAAAAGATCCTGAGCATGCTGGAGCAAAAGCTTGATTCAATGTAAGTGGAGCATTCTTTTTGAAGAAGAGCCGCTGCAGTGAAGGCCAGGAAACGTTTCCAACACAATGGAGCACTGCTTAGCCTTGGATAGCCTTCAAGCGAACATCTCCCAGATGTGGATGTCAGTTTATATCAGTCTATGCAAATCACTTTGGACGTTCTCCAGAAACACAGTCAAAAACATTAAAATGATTTGACGTCCACATCCCGCTTTGGTTGATGCGCACGCGCAGCATTGGGCGTGCTCGCTTGCTTGAGAGAACAAATGGTTCTTTTGCATTTCTGGTGCAACAGTGCAAAAGCGGAAAAGCCATTCAATGCCATTAGAAACGATTTGGAACACTGCTTTCACCGCGCCTGCATTTTACATCATGATTATGCAACAAAGTGCAAATTGTAAATGCTTGCAAGCTTCCAGCGGGTGAGCATAACTCGGCTCAGCTGAGTGTCTTCTTGCACACGCTGAACAAAATCTTCTCAGAAATCCATCCCTTCACAAACACAAACCGTGCTTCTTCCACACATACAAGGTCTGCACTCCTTGGTGCGCGCTTCGTACTTCGAAGGGCAAAGGAAATTTCTATTGCAACGAACATGTTCGCTCCACTTTCCAAGCGCACTTTTCGTCCCAGCAAACAATGATATGAAATAATATGCATCTGGCGACGCACGGATCCTTGCGACACAAGCAGTTCTCTGGGTCCACTAATGCATTCCCTGCAACACCAGTGGCAAGCAGAAGGGAACACTCGTTTTGTTGCTGCTAGCTGGGAATAAAATCAGGTTTGGCACCACTGGGTCTGGTCTGGGCTAAATGAAGTGGATGAGAACTGTTGGGGCCTAGAAGTCGCTTCTTTCAAGATCAACCAACGTCTGTTCCTTCAATGTATACTTCGCACAAGAGACAACCATGTGAACCCCAGGAAGGTTGTGGCAAGAAAACACATGGCTCCAAAGCCTTTTCCAGTGGATTTCTCGTACTCCACCTTTGTCTTTTGCTTCCCACCTGAAACAGCTCATCGATGAAGGGAACTCATTTCGTGGATGCTGCTCGCTTGCATATTCAGCCAACAAAACATTTAAACTCTTCAGGCAGGCTGTGAAGCCCAAACAAAGGTGGCAAGGTGTTGACTCATAGCTAAATCTTCTTGCGCTGCTTGAAAGTAACGCGGCCAAAATACGCTTGGCAGCGTGCGCACTGGGGTGCTGATCCTTTGACAATGTTTTGCAGTCCCTAATTGAAAAAGGAACTTAATAGCGAGGCCTCCAACCTACTAGCAAAAGGAACCTAATGCTACAGTATTGCAACTTCTTGCAACTCAATATGCATATCCTTTCAAACAAAAGGTTCTTAAATCTTGTCCATTGGACGTCTCATCTCCGAGACACGTCGCCAGGGGTCACATTGTCCGCCCTGTCACCGTGCTGCCATCTAACTCAAGAACAAACATGAAATGCTGATGAACTCTCAATTGACAATGCTTCTGTACTATCCAAGGACTATTCACGTGCATGGTCCCAATGGTGTATCTAGGTGCCATCACTGTGATGTATATTTCAGTCTCCAAGATCTTGATTCCAGAAAGACACTTGTTGTATCCACTGACCGCAAGAATCCTACGACAGGAACACTTGAGGGTGTACTGTCTGGAAAGCCAAGATCGGAGAATGAAAGGGCATAAGGCGACCGATGTGAGTGATCACCCACAACTACTGTTACCCGACTTGCGTCACAACACTTCTCCGGTGTTCCGCTTTGCAAATCTAGCCTATCTGTCGTGCTGTCGCTGAGAAAGGAAAAGCAGGAGAAACAGCTTGACCTCAGTTTTCACACGTTTTGACACCAGATCACCATGCCAAGCACAATCGGGGAACTGGAACCCAAGCCGTAGAACACTGCCATAGCCACGCACACTTTGCCAAGCTTCGGGGGAGCATTGGGAGCTACTGCGCCTTTGCCGGCTGGCTTCTTGAACTCTGTCTTCTCATTCGGATGGATGAAGCGCAAATGCAGCTGCACTCGCTGCACAGGGGGCAGCACCAGGACACTAGGCGCTATTTATCACAGCTGTTTCACAATGACTCTCAAGTTCACCAAGAAACACCTTGCAAAATGCTTGAAACATGAAGCCACTTTGCAGCACCATCATGTTATCATGAGCTATCTACCGTTTTCAACATGGCCAACACCATCTGCAACAATTACTTGGTCCCTTGAATCCCTTGGGTCCCGAATCTTTGCCTCCATCCTCTGCAAGTCATGCACGTGAACTTATATATATATATATAACTTCCCGAGTTGCCTTCTCAGAGTCGAAGCTCTTTTCGCAATGTGCACACTCAAACATGGCTAGAAATTTCTCAAAGCGAAAGGCTGATGAGAACTTCGTCGGGCAAACCCTTTTGTCTTTGCGATATGCAAAGCTTTCTATGTTTTCCAGCCTTTGCGTTATCATGAAATGCTACTGGATCTGAGCCAAATGGATGAGCTGTACGGATCAACACATAGATGCATCATGATGCAACAATGTTGAGGACAGCAAACCCCAAAGTAAGGGCAAAGTCGTAAAGCTTGGTCCAATTCTTGCTTCGTCTCAGAGTCTCTCTCAGCATGTTGCCTTTATATGACCCAGATACAACACCTCGTCTACTCTCACAATATGTTGGCAGGCAACTCAACGTATCTTTGAGCACACAGACTTTTGGTTCCAGTGCATTGCAAATACGAAACTCGAATGCATGTTGGCGGGCTTCCAAATACAACCGCTTCAGGTGATACATGGCTGCTACGGTCGAGCTTGTCAAGCCTGTCCATCGGGGCGAGTGGAGAAGAGCACTAGCAGCTCTGATCAATCTCAGCTTTTTCAAGGAGCGTCTACTAAGTCTACTACAAACTTAAACATTTGCTTAGGTAGCCGAACACTTGCAGCCGCTGCTCCATAGTTACACTTGAAACCTTCCATCCACAACATTCATAAATATGTGTCTTACAACAAACTGTCTGAGCCTTCAAGGCGAGCCAGTCATTCTTGGGCCGGTGAAGAAGCGTTAGTAGTTCTGCTTGAACGTGATGTCCTAACCTGGCAGATTTGCAACAGCCAACCATTCGGTACTGTAAGTGCAACTTTATCATACTTCTGTCCAAGTGGAAAATGCTTTCAAGCTTTTCACTGCGCTATGAAGCGAAGGCCAAGAAGCTTTGAGGCATCTGCGGATGTCAACAGGCCACGCTCCTCATGCCAGTAGGACATTGAAAGTTGTCCAGTGCCTGTTCCAATGTGAATGCTAAATAGCAACACACCAAATTTAAACTCTTTCTCCTTCAGCTCATCAACTTCGTGGAGTTGATCTTGTAGAAGTTTCCGTGCACACATTTCTGTCCTGTGGCTTTGCAAGCAAACTAAGTCGCTTCGCTGAGAGGCACTGCAAACTTAGGTCAAACAAACTCACTGTGCCTTTGCACAGCTCGTGTTCTTTACAACTTGTGTCTTTAGAAAATCCAAACATTGACTATTGAATCCTATTGATGTCTCCATTTGCTGCGCACTTTTTTGGCACCACTCAATGGCTTGCAGGAATGCAGTCCTTGCCAGCACCACCAAGTCATCCGGTAGTGCCTCAAAAGGAACATTATTGGCTTGTGAACGAACTTGTTTACAGTACCAGTACCAAAAGATTCAATCCTTCGAACACATGTTTACCTTTTCTTTTTTGGACCCACCCAAACAACACTCCAATCTACCTCTTTGGAAGCGTGCTGCCAAACAATGATGTGCCCCAATGAAGCTCGCTCAACATCCAGCTCTACATCACTACGTCAAACCCTCTTGCCACAGTGCCAACATCGGCAAACCCTCCAATATCAAGTCCCCAAAGCAGGGTTGACTGTTTGATGAGAACACTCTAGAGAGAATTGGCCAAATGGCGAGCAAACTGCTGTTTTGGACATTATCCAAAAGAGTCTCTGGTTCCAAAAGCATTTGAAGCTATCCACATTCTTTTAAGCACAACAATTACTAAATGGTTTGGCAAGGTCTAATGGATCTTCGTTTACAATAACCTTTCAGTGGCTTCTTGCAATACTGCAGGTTGTTTCCTTGGCCAGCCTAGTTGGCTCTTGTGCACAATCTATCCTACTTCGAGGTTGCACTTTCCGTGGCAGGACCATGTCGCATAACGCTCATATGCTACAATCCTAGATGTGGCAGCTTGTGACCACTGTGAGGTGTCATCATTTGATCCTTTTGACGTGTCCGCTTGCCCTGGATAGCTGCAACACAGGTGACATCACCGTTGTTGTATTGCTGCCTACGGCTTGACGTGCCTTGAGCGCCCACAATCAAGCGTACCAGCTTTAATCAGAATTTCACACAGCACTGCGTGCGCAAGCTTTGCCGAAATGCTTCGTGTATTGGCGTAGCAGGGTGGGCAAAACCACCTGATCCGCCATTATGCTTCACTATCGATTCCACGAACTGCAATGAACCAATGAAGCTTTTAGCAGTGAAGCTTCACATCAAGTTTGCCGGGATTGGAACAACTTGAACTCAAGCCCGCCACCCTTCAGTCGAAACTTTTTACATTTCCAGCCTGCAGCAATTCTTGTGCTTGGGAGCACTCAGCTAAAGACTCCTCTGCCACCATTTGCTGCACCTGTGGAAGGAAACAAACATTCAAAACAAGCTTATGCTCGCGCTTAACTGCATCGTTCAACAACTTCGCGCTGGTTTGCGTCTCGAGTCTCCAACGGCCTTCAAGTCGTCAACGTGGAAAAAACCTTGGACATGTCGGCCGTTTCAGATTGAACGATCAAAGGCACGTCACTGTCACAAGGCCGCATCCATCCATGATTGCTTGTTCCACTTCACATGAAAGTATGGCGTAATTTGCTAAGGAGCCACCCTTGCCAAGCATTCTTACTGAAGTTTCTCTGCTCCCGTAAGCAAGAAAAACAGGCTGGGTGTCTGCTTTGACGGTTTGATTCAGCATCTTATTTCACCTTCATGAGACTTTACGAGCGTGGCTGGTAGCGAAACTGAGCTCCAGGGCGTGGCAATTCTTCTCGAGCACGTCTGTGCGCTTCCATGAAAGACAAAGCCTCTCTAAGTGAACGCTTACATGTTTGCCGCTTCGGCCCACAATCACAAGCGTTGCAATATGGCACAATTATGCTAATACTCACCACAAGAGTATGCTGCAATATGTACACCTCCAGTCTAATTATATATATATAGCCAAAACAGCTTTAGGACAACATGGCAGAACATGCAAAGACTGACAACACATGATAATGATGTGTGGACGTATGTCAGGATCTCATGCCAGCTCAGCCACGCAATGTGCTTTCTGCATGAAGTCGCCCATCGAATGCTCTCCGGTCAAAGTACTAAAGAGTCCCCGGTCAAGAGGTGCGCTTGAGGCCCTGAGTGAGGCTCGAGCACTCTATGATAGTCATATTCACTTCAGACCTGCTCAGGATTCAAGAATGGGTTTGCGAGGGTCAAACGAATGATGTGGAGATATGTTGAGTGGTGAAATCAGAAAAACCTGCACACAGGTCCTTGTGACCAAAATAGAAAACCTGTTAATTTGTCTCCGGTAAAGGCCCCGTTCCACTATGTATTTCTTACAAAAACGTGGCTGAACATGCCAAGTAAGGCTGTCATTTCAGGGTAATCAGTTAGCATGGCAAAAGACGTGGTGCATTCTGTTTGCATTGCAAGGAGGAATTGTAACTGGCTGACTTCGGGTTCAACGTGCATCACGAAACAAACTTCTTCCATGCACTGCTTGGTCATCAGTCAACGTTTACCCGGTTCACGGCACAAAAGCGGAACATCAAACAAAGCATAAGCTAACAAAGCATCTTCTTCACCAGCTCGCAGCCGACGAAAGGAAGCGTGTCCCAAAGGGTGTCTTGTGGGGAGCTATACATATAGATCTCATGTGATCTCATGCCTCATGCTCTACTGCCAACATAAAGTAACTCAGAAGGAGAAAGCGACTTCTCTGAGTGCTCAACTGCCAGTGGGCCAACAAATATCAAATTACAAAAATATGCTTGCAATACAATTTGGTTGTAGTGTTTCTGCAGCGCTCAGCTAAAACCCGCAGCGATGTGAAGGAACAAGGCTGAGGCAACAATGGAAGTCATGGATCAAGAGTTGCAATACACACAGTTGAATACCTTCTGGGCTCATAGGTTGACTTCTAAGTGGTCTCAATGCACCCCGAGAATCTCCAAAGAACTTCTGATGGCTTCCCAATCCTGTGAGGGGCACGTAGTGTCAAAGTTCAGATAATACAACATCATATTCCAACTGAATCATGTCGAACTGCAACCCCCTTGTCAAATAAACATTTTAACAAGACCTGTGCTCAACCATTCTTCACACTAGCTGGAAAGCTTGATGCAAGCTACATTGTGGACTTTGCCATCTATATGCAGGCTGAGAGGCAGAAAGAGACCTAGCACACTGAGGCTGCTCAGCCAAATGCTCAAGCTGGATTTCCAACCAAGAATTGCTATGCTATCTGCGAGTCTGCATCTATAGCTCAGATTATGCAATGCAGAAGTCGCAGAACGCAACAAAACATTTTGAAACTTCCCAAGTAAAAAGGCCAAGAAGCTCTGCGGCAGTGTCCAGTGCCACATCCACGGAGCTCAGCAAAAGTCGGGCTGATTGCGACGTCCGGGGCAAGAGCCCTGCAAAGGACTTCAAAGGAACCCAAATGCGCAGCGTTGACATTTGTGTGTTCTGAGCGGCATTGGGTTCTTTGGGCACACATGACATATCATGACTTTCATGTCACATGCTTACTCTTTTCCTGTCTCATGTGTATTTCGTACGGCATATTTCATCTAACCACCCTGTGACTACGCAGAAACCAAGCTTCTCAAGAACTGTGGGCTGCCGGCTGCCGGTGCCGTGTTCCCTTGCCTTGATGAATGGATGACCAATAGTGACTCTTTACCTGACAAGAAATGAAGGCCACGTGCAACCAGAGCTAGAAACCATGTTAGGTTCCTACTGTGTATTTAGACCTTTGCATCTATCTGATCACTGATCACTGATCACTGTGATTGGCTTCAAGCCTCTCTATCCTCTCTAAAACTCACGCTAAGATCCCCAGCCACTTGAAGGAAGGCTTCTCGATAAGCTTGGGATGACTCGTCAGACCCAAGCTCCTCTGCCACCTGAGATCACTAGTTTGCATCCTCTTCCACGCACACAATTTCTAACTCTTTTACCTCAAACTGCCTAGAACATGTCAAAACATGCGCCGGCAATTTGGTCAAA